AGTTACAGTAAAACCACAATGAGTCAAAGCAATCTTGGCTATTTTTGGTTTTTAGTTTGTTTCACTGGTCCTGCTCTTTACTGAAGAACGTTGACTTGAGTACTCATAGCGACAGCTCGTTTTGCGTCGCAGCCGAGATGAAACCGAGAGCCGGGCTTATTACCGGCGCCACTATCAAGGTCAAGTGCTTAGAAGCGTACGTCCCGGTCCGCTCAGATAAGAGAGTGGAGTGAAGTAGAGTGCTAAAAGTAGAGTTATAGACTATGTAGCATACTATGTGGGCATGGAGGACATTTTACTACCCATTTAGAGCTCTGGCAAATGGTCGAGATAAGAATTTATATAAAAAAAAATCGCGTACGAGTAGGAAAAGGATACTAGGAAACGGGATACAGGGGGTCAAAGGGACAGATCAGCATGGATACGTAAACGAAGAAGATCACCGGTCAGATCTTTGTCGGCTGCGGTATAGCTCATTGGCGAGAACGCCCACCCTACCATGATCCTTCAGGGCCACCTATTAACAGTCAGGATCCCTTCAAATAAGCCTGCTATTCGATATTGTCTTACATTTATAGGGTATTACTATACAGCATATACTGGGGAAGGAATATCATAAGGGCGAGGTAGGGTATAATGATCTTAAATCTATAAAACTGATTAGTAGTAGGTATATATAAATGCACGAGCATGTATAAAACCGTGATTATGGTTGAAGACCAACGAATAGTTACCGCACATTCATTCTTTTCAGATGGGGGTTAAATCGGTGGTACTGGCACGTGTCCGGGAATAACCAATCCGTAACTTCTAGACCAGCGTTGTAATACGTAGATACTAGTGGTGCTAATCCTACGCGGAAAAAACAGGAATTTTTCAACGGGTCTCTGTAGCTGGGTGGATAATTACCTCAACAGAATTACACCACTGATCGAAAAATTTTACTGAACTGTGGGCGTTCGTTTTCCAAATGGTCGAACGGCTGCCCCAGTATTGACGATATATAACTGGCGCGTCCACTCAAATTAAATGATCACTTTGAGCCGCACTTGGCACTTGCACTAGGCTTTGACTTTGGCTTGACCTTGGTTTAGAGAACTGGGTCAGCTCTACAAGACTTCTTTTTCCACGGCCGGTCACTCTGACGGTCACGAGGAGAGAAATAAAGAGGCTGGGACTACTAAAAACAGCAAACCACGTTTTTCCACACTTTCTATGGTCTTCTTCTGTTATACAGGATCCAGACACAGCAATATTTAATAAAATATAGTGCACGGCAGAAAAATTGCATATCAAAGCGTTGCCGCTTGGTCGCAAAACAGCTCTTGATAAGCTTTATCAAAGCTCACAAGATCTTCAACTCGAATTTTTTTACAGCCTAGTTTTAGGCTGTAATTTTGGGAGTTAGCCGTGGATAATTAAAATACAAGAAGACACGATAAGCGTCGAATATTACACCCCCCGCTGAAATCACAGTTTGGGGTCTTGCTAACCAAAGCGTGATCCACACTTGGAGTGCTGGATACGATTTATTGTTTAATATCATTTGCGTGATATTTACCAATAAAGCGACCCTGGAAATCTTTTCTTAATGCGGGCTTTCCGAAACGTAGGTGCCAGTTTCGCATCAATGCCTTTCACAAAACTACTCTGGTCAAAATTTCGTCTATACACTTCTTGACCCACTTGAAAGTTTACTTCTCGGCTTCGAAGATTATAGATATTTTCATTGCGAACATGCTGCTGTTTCATTGCTTCTGCAGCGGTCTTGCGAATTAGCTCGAAGGAATCGTCGCGATCGAAGACTACTGTTCGGTTCTCCAACATACTGAGGTTTCGTAGGAGTTGATTAGTGGAACCGCCAGTAATCATGTTTTGGCCAAAAGCAACAGGATATGGGCTACTTTTGATGGCTGCATGCACACTGGATTGATCGGGCTTAATGTACGCTTTGATAGCAGCGAGTACCGAGCGATTTACCCGCTCTGAGGTATTGGTTTGGGGAGCGTAGGCGGCGGTGTACGAATGTCGAATTTGGTGTTTCGCTAACAGATCCTTGAACTTGTGTGACTTGAATTGAACGCCGTTATCTGACACTATCACTTCCGGGACTCCAAAGCACTGAAACAGGTCTTCCTCCATGAACCGAGTTACGGCATCCGCAGTAAATTTCTTTACCACTTTTAGGAAAGGAAATTTAGAAAAATGATCGAGTACTACAAAAATGCCTATATTCCCGGATCGACTTCGGGGGTACGGACCTAGAAAATCGACGTAAAGTTTTTGAAATAGACGAAATGTCTCCCCTGCTTTGCCCATTGGCGGACGTAGAGGATGATTGGGATGCTCGGTCGTTCCTATTCGAGGAAGTCGGTCAGCTGTACTCTTCGTCGCCCAAAAAAAGCATAACATCTAATTCGTTAATTTCCTTCCTGTTTTGCTACTCAAAAAAAATTCGCTTCAGCAGCGATCAAATACAAAACGAGGGGGAACGTTGTGAGTTGCTGCGGACACCGCAACTCTAGAGTTATACCCGATACTAAGTCAGTATGGCTCTCCTCCGGCAGACGCCGCTAATATTTAACGACACGACAAAGAGTGCGTGCGAGAGACACGAGAGACAGAAAATCAGTCTGAGCGTGACGTCGGGCGCTGCGTAGCCACTGCAAATTGATTTGTTCCTTTTGGCTACAAAAATGATCTGATATGATCCAGATTCAGCAATCTGATAGATATGGTCGTTATCTATGATTCTGCGTTTTTAGTTTTCTCGAATCTGCAATATTGTGGATGCAACAGATTTTCGTCCTTTGTGGGGGCGGATGGGGGTGGGGCGAAATTCTGAGATATACGTTTTATAGTGACATCTCAAAGGAGTGTGTGTACCAAATTTGGTTACTCTAGCCTTAATAGTCTCTGAGATTTGTGGTTGCCTCAGATTTTCGTCCTTTGCGGGGGCGGAAGGGGGTGTGGCGAAATTTGGGCATGAAACGGTCAAGGTTCGATATCACAGGAGTGTGGATACCAAATTTGGTTGCTCTGGCTTTTATAGGTTCTGAGATCCTTGAACTCATATTTTGCAATTGGCAAAACCGACCATGAAACCTGTGTGTTAGAGTGAGACAGAGCGAGAAAGAGTGAAATTGTTTTCGTGATTCTGGCTGTAATAATTATACGATCTGGTTCAGATTTTGCACTCTGTAAGATATAGTCATCTTCTACGATTCTGCGTTTTTAGTTTTCTCGTATCGTCGAAATTGTGGATGCCACAGATTTTCGCCCTTTGTGGGGGCCGAAGTGGGCGGGGCAAAGTTTTGAAATACTTTTGGAGCAGTGACATATCACAGAAGTCTGGATCCAAAACATCGTTGCTCTAGCTCTTATAGACTTTGAGCACTAGGCGCTGAAAGGGGACGGACAGACGGACGGACGGACAGACAGACAGGGCTCAATCGACTCGGCTATTGATGCTGATCAAGAATATATATACTTTATGGGGTCGGAAACGATTCCTTCTGGACGTTACACACATCCATTTTCACCACAAATCTAATATACCCCAATACTCATTTTGAGTATCGGGTATAAAAAACGAGGGGGAACGTTGTGAGTTGCTGCGGACACCGCAACTCTACAGTTATACCCGATACTAAGTCAGTATGGCTCTCCTCCGGCAGACGCCGCTAATATTAAACGACACGACAAAGAGTGCGTGCGAGAGAGACAGAAAATCAGTCTGAGCGTGACGTCGGGCGCTGCGTAGCCAGTGCAAATTGATTTGTTTCCTTTGGCTATAAAAATGATCTGATCTGATCTAGATGCAGCAATCTGATAGATATGGTCGTTCTCTATGATTCTGCGTTTTTAGTTTTCTCGAATCTGCAATATTGTGGATGCAACAGATTTTCGTCCTTTGTGGGGGCGGAAGGAGGTGGGGCGAAATTTTGAGATAAACGTTTTATAGAGAGATCTAACAGGAGTGCGGATACTAAATTTGGTTACTCTAGCCTTAATAGTCTCTGAGATTTGTGAATATCCCCAGACTTGCATCCTTTGCGGGGGCGGAAGGGGGTGTGGCGAAATTTTGAAATAAACTCGTCTCGGTCCGATATATTAGGAGTATGGATACCAAATTTGGTTGCTCTAGCTTTTATAGTCTCTGAGATCTAGACGCTAATGTTTTACTCTAAGCAAAGCCGCCTATGCTACGTGTGTGTTAGAGAGAGACAGGGCGAGAAAAAATGAAAAAAAGCAGTGACATATCACAGAAGTCTGGATCCAGAACATCGTTGCTCTAGCTCTTATAGTCTTTGAGCATTAGGCGCTGAAGGGGACGGACAGACGGACAGACGGACGGACGGACAGACGGACAGACGGACAGACGGACAGACAGACATGCCTCAATCGACTCGGCTATTGATGCTGATCAAGAATATATATACTTTATGGGTTCGGAAACGATTCCTTCTGGACGTTACACACATCCACTTTTACCACAAATCTAATATACCCCAATACTCATTTTGAGTATCGGGTATAAAAAACATGTCAGCAACATATCTATTTGACATGTACTAAATGAAACATGGACTAATAGGCACCGTAATCTTGTTTGCGATAGCAGAGCACTTTGGCGGTCAAAGAGGTTACTTTTCACCACACCAGTCCACCGAGACACCACCCCCCCCAGACCCATTGAACGCTATGGGCCGCATTACAAATATTTTTGAGTACATTTATGTGTAGATCAAAGTGCATTCTATTAAATTAAACTATTCATGGGTGCCTACTATGCCGTTTTTCTCTGTGTGTATCCTCTGTTTTTAAATTTGTAATTTTCAGGGAACCAGCTTGGCCTTGGAAAACTCGTAACCTTGTGCTCGTACTTTACACCAGAGTATCAGTTCACTCTGCAAAAACAGGCAATCAGAATTGTTGAATAAAGCACGCACACATACTGTAAAGCCAGGCCGAGGCTGCTGGCCGAAATACCCTTCAGAATGTCGAATGCCAACCCCAATGACAACAACAACGAGCAGCCCCCAGCCGCCAAGAGGCAGCGATTGTCAGATGTTGCAAGTAAAGATGAAAGTACTTTGAATGAGATTTCGACTACTATGGACAGCAGTGAGGGTGAGGTCGGCGGGTCCTCGGGTGGTGGCGTCTCCGATCTTCGTGAGCTACTGCATAACATACTGGTGTGCGTTGTGTGCCGCGAGGTTCCACAACCACACGACTTCTATCAGTGCAGCCATGGGCATATCATGTGTGAGGACTGCAAGACCGCCGTTCTGGCTGTTGCCATCTTCAATAAAACGCGTGCCTGCTGCCCAAGTTGTCGATCGCTCATTAGAAACTACGATCAGGAGCAGAATCTAGTGGTGCGCCAGACCCTCTGGGAGCTACCCATCAGCTGCCCCAGCTGCAATGACCAGTTCTCAGATAGGAAAGATCTCTCCAGACACTTGGAGTTCGTTTGTGAGGGGCGTGTGGTTTGCTGGAAGTACCACTGCGTGGGCTGTTCTTGGAAGGGCTCCTACAAGGACAGCGTCTCACATGATTCCGACTGTGGGTTTCCCCAGAAGCAGGGAAAGGAGATCCTAGATATTCTGCTGCATGTCGAAGACAGGGAGCTTGAGGCCCAAAAGCCCGTGTTGCAGCTCCATCGGGTGCTGAGTGCTAGCCGGGTGGAATTTTTCACCTTGAGAATGAAGTGGATACACCGCTCAGAGGGTTTTGGAGAACCAGAACTCGTCTGCAGCATACCTCTGATGATCTCTTATCCCGATCCCCACAGACGATTCGTGCCTTTGAGGAGGATTGGGTGCTGCGTCTACGTCTGAAAAGAGCTGGGGAAAAAATCACCGTCAGCGGCCAGCTATTGCTTTCGACTACCCCACGAGTGTCCCTCCTGGTTGACCATTTGATCCAGATGCCGCAGAGTGTCTGCAGCGCCAAGCAGCTGCACGACATACGCCCGCGTATCTACCGCCATATTTTCGATTCAACCGGCAAGTGCGCAAAGCGCCAGGAGCTTCCCTTGGCGGGACCTCAGGCCCTGTACCGGCTATTTGCCATGACCCGGATCCAGCTCCGTTTGTGGATGTTTTTGCATTATTGAGCTGACGCTAAAAACCTTTAAATTGTAGTTTAAACCTTTATTGGGCACATCTTTTGATTTGATTTTTAAATTCGTTGCTTTAGAGCTGCATTTTTAGGGTTTGGGCGCCTTCTGGATCTGCTCGTTCACAGCAAGACCTTCTTCAGCAGCAGCCTTGGCCTTATCATGGAAGTCGTGCAGAAGCAATCGAGTAAATTAGGCATACGTTTTTGTCTGGTCTGTTAAGGTCGGCTAGTGTCGGCTAGACTTACCTTAACGCTATCCTCGTTGAAAAATTCCTTGACCTTTGCCAGCAGGCCGTTGAGCTGAGCCTCAACTGGCTTGGTGGGCTCCTCACGAGGCACGCGAGCACACATGCACACCTGAAGGCAGAGTTACAGTAAAACCACAATGAGTCAAAGCAATCTTGGCTATTTTTGGTTTTTAGTTTGTTTCACTGGTCCTGCTCTTTACTGAAGAACGTTGACTTGAGTACTCATAGCGACAGCTCGTTTTGAGTCGCAGCCGAGATGAAACCGAGAGCCGGGCTTATTACCGGCGCCACTATCAATGTCAAGTGCTTAGATGCGTACGTCCCGGTCCGCTCAGATAAGAGAGTGGAGTGAAGTAGAGTGCTCAAAGTAGAGTTATAGACTATGTAGCATACTATGTGGGCATGGAGGACATTTAACTACCCATTTAGAGCTCTGGCAAATGGTCGAGATAAGAATTTATATAAAAACGAGGGGGAACGTTGTGAGTTGCTGCGGACACCGCAACTCTACGGTTATACCCGATACTAAGTCAGTATGGCTCTCCTCCGGCAGACGCCGCTAATATTTAATGACACGACAAAGAGTGCGTGCGAGAGAGACAGAAAATCAGTCTGAGCGTGACGTCGGGCGCTGCGTAGCCACTGCAAATTGATTTGTTCCTTTTGGCTATAAAAATGATCTGATCTGATCCAGATTCAGCAATCTAATAGATATGGTCATTATCTATGATTCTGCGTTTTTAGTTTTCTCAAATCTGCAATATTGTGGATGCAACAGATTTTCGTCCTTTGTGGGGGCGGATGGGGGTGGGGCGAAATTCTGAGATATACGTTTTATAGTGACATCTTAAAGGAGTGTGTGTACCAAATTTGGTTACTCTAGCCTTAATAGTCTCTGAGATTTGTGGTTGCCTCAGATTTTCGTCCTTTGCGGGGGCGGAAGGGGGTGTGGCGAAATTTGGACAGGAAACGGTCAAGGTCCGATATCACAGGAGTGTGGATACCAAATTTGGTTGCTCTGGCTTTTATAGGTTCTGAGATCCTTGAACTCATATTTTGCAATTGGCAAAACCGACCATGAAACCTGTGTGTTAGAGTGAGACAGAGCGAGAAAGAGTGAAATTGTTTTCGTGATTCTGGCTGTAATAATTATACGATCTGGTTCAGATTTTGCTCTCTAGAAGATATAGTCATCTTCTACGATTCTGCGTTTTTAGTTTTATCGTATCGTCGAAATTGTGGATGCCACAGATTTTCGCCCTTTGTGGGGGCGGAAGTGGGCGGGGCAAAGTTTTGAAATATTTTTGGAGCAGTGACATATCACAGAAGTCTGGATCCAAAACATCGTTGCTCTAGCTCTTATAGTCTTTGAGCATTAGGCGCTGAAGGGGACGGACAGACGGACAGACGGACAGACGGACGGACGGACGGACGGACAGACAGACATGGCTCAATCGACTCGGCTATTGATGCTGATCAAGAATATATATACTTTATGGGTTCGGAAACGATTCCTTCTGGACGTTACACACATCCACTTTTACCACAAATCTAATATACCCCAATACTCATTTTGAGTATCGGGTATAAAAAACATGTCAGCAACATATCTATTTGACATGTACTAAATGAAACATGGACTAATAGGCACCGTAATCTTGTTTGCGATAGCAGAGCACTTTGGCGGTCAAAGAGGTTACTTTTCACCACACCAGTCCACCGAGACACCACCCCCCCCAGACCCATTGAACGCTATGGGCCGCATTACAAATATTTTTGAGTACATTTATGTGTAGATCAAAGTGCATTCTATTAAATTAAACTATTCATGGGTGCCTACTATGCCGTTTTTCTCTGTGTGTATCCTCTGTTTTTAAATTTGTAATTTTCAGGGAACCAGCTTGGCCTTGGAAAACTCGTAACCTTGTGCTCGTACTTTACACCAGAGTATCAGTTCACTCTGCAAAAACAGGCAATCAGAATTGTTGAATAAAGCACGCACACATACTGTAAAGCCAGGCCGAGGCTGCTGGCCGAAATACCCTTCAGAATGTCGAATGCCAACCCCAATGACAACAACAACGAGCAGCCCCCAGCCGCCAAGAGGCAGCGATTGTCAGATGTTGCAAGTAAAGATGAAAGTACTTTGAATGAGATTTCGACTACTATGGACAGCAGTGAGGGTGAGGTCGGCGGGTCCTCGGGTGGTGGCGTCTCCGATCTTCGTGAGCTACTGCATAACATACTGGTGTGCGTTGTGTGCCGCGAGGTTCCACAACCACACGACTTCTATCAGTGCAGCCATGGGCATATCATGTGTGAGGACTGCAAGACCGCCGTTCTGGCTGTTGCCATCTTCAATAAAACGCGTGCCTGCTGCCCAAGTTGTCGATCGCTCATTAGAAACTACGATCAGGAGCAGAATCTAGTGGTGCGCCAGACCCTCTGGGAGCTACCCATCAGCTGCCCCAGCTGCAATGACCAGTTCTCAGATAGGAAAGATCTCTCCAGACACTTGGAGTTCGTTTGTGAGGGGCGTGTGGTTTGCTGGAAGTACCACTGCGTGGGCTGTTCTTGGAAGGGCTCCTACAAGGACAGCGTCTCACATGATTCCGACTGTGGGTTTCCCCAGAAGCAGGGAAAGGAGATCCTAGATATTCTGCTGCATGTCGAAGACAGGGAGCTTGAGGCCCAAAAGCCCGTGTTGCAGCTCCATCGGGTGCTGAGTGCTAGCCGGGTGGAATTTTTCACCTTGAGAATGAAGTGGATACACCGCTCAGAGGGTTTTGGAGAACCAGAACTCGTCTGCAGCATACCTCTGATGATCTCTTATCCCGATCCCCACAGACGATTCGTGCCTTTGAGGAGGATTGGGTGCTGCGTCTACGTCTGAAAAGAGCTGGGGAAAAAATCACCGTCAGCGGCCAGCTATTGCTTTCGACTACCCCACGAGTGTCCCTCCTGGTTGACCATTTGATCCAGATGCCGCAGAGTGTCTGCAGCGCCAAGCAGCTGCACGACATACGCCCGCGTATCTACCGCCATATTTTCGATTCAACCGGCAAGTGCGCAAAGCGCCAGGAGCTTCCCTTGGCGGGACCTCAGGCCCTGTACCGGCTATTTGCCATGACCCGGATCCAGCTCCGTTTGTGGATGTTTTTGCATTATTGAGCTGACGCTAAAAACCTTTAAATTGTAGTTTAAACCTTTATTGGGCACATCTTTTGATTTGATTTTTAAATTCGTTGCTTTAGAGCTGCATTTTTAGGGTTTGGGCGCCTTCTGGATCTGCTCGTTCACAGCAAGACCTTCTTCAGCAGCAGCCTTGGCCTTATCATGGAAGTCGTGCAGAAGCAATCGAGTAAATTAGGCATACGTTTTTGTCTGGTCTGTTAAGGTCGGCTAGTGTCGGCTAGACTTACCTTAACGCTATCCTCGTTGAAAAATTCCTTGACCTTTGCCAGCAGGCCGTTGAGCTGAGCCTCAACTGGCTTGGTGGGCTCCTCACGAGGCACGCGAGCACACATGCACACCTGAAGGCAGAGTTACAGTAAAACCACAATGAGTCAAAGCAATCTTGGCTATTTTTGGTTTTTAGTTTGTTTCACTGGTCCTGCTCTTTACTGAAGAACGTTGACTTGAGTACTCATAGCGACAGCTCGTTTTGCGTCGCAGCCGAGATGAAACCGAGAGCCGGGCTTATTACCGGCGCCACTATCAATGTCAAGTGCTTAGATGCGTACGTCCCGGTCCGCTCAGATAAGAGAGTGGAGTGAAGTAGAGTGCTCAAAGTAGAGTTATAGACTATGTAGCATACTATGTGGGCATGGAGGACATTTAACTACCCATTTAGAGCTCTGGCAAATGGTCGAGATAAGAATTTATATAAAAACGAGGGGGAACGTTGTGAGTTGCTGCGGACACCGCAACTCTACGGTTATACCCGATACTAAGTCAGTATGGCTCTCCTCCGGCAGACGCCGCTAATATTTAATGACACGACAAAGAGTGCGTGCGAGAGAGACAGAAAATCAGTCTGAGCGTGACGTCGGGCGCTGCGTAGCCACTGCAAATTGATTTGTTCCTTTTGGCTATAAAAATGATCTGATCTGATCCAGATTCAGCAATCTAATAGATATGGTCATTATCTATGATTCTGCGCTTTTAGTTTTCTCAAATCTGCAATATTGTGGATGCAACAGATTTTCGTCCTTTGTGGGGGCGGATGGGGGTGGGGCGAAATTCTGAGATATACGTTTTATAGTGACATCTTAAAGGAGTGTGTGTACCAAATTTGGTTACTCTAGCCTTAATAGTCTCTGAGATTTGTGGTTGCCTCAGATTTTCGTCCTTTGCGGGGGCGGAAGGGGGTGTGGCGAAATTTGGACAGGAAACGGTCAAGGTCCGATATCACAGGAGTGTGGATACCAAATTTGGTTGCTCTGGCTTTTATAGGTTCTGAGATCCTTGAACTCATATTTTGCAATTGGCAAAACCGACCATGAAACCTGTGTGTTAGAGTGAGACAGAGCGAGAAAGAGTGAAATTGTTTTCGTGATTCTGGCTGTAATAATTATACGATCTGGTTCAGATTTTGCACTCTAGAAGATATAGTCATCTTCTACGATTCTGCGTTTTTAGTTTTATCGTATCGTCGAAATTGTGGATGCCACAGATTTTCGCCCTTTGTGGGGGCGGAAGTGGGCGGGGCAAAGTTTTGAAATATTTTTGGAGCAGTGACATATCA